TTGAAAAAAAATATAATATTATTAGAGTAATATTTGTTTTTTTTTTTTTTTGGGGGGGGGGGGGGGGAATTAGTGTTCCATAATTTGAGCTTTAATGCCCAACGTAAAAGCATTGTAGTCATGGTGACCTGACCTACAACACGCAGGATGTTCTCTCTCCAGCATGCCTCCATAATAGAAGTTCCAATATTTGTTCATTATTTATTGCCACCTTCAGGCAAGCTCTTACAGAGGACAAACCAACCATTCTGCTGCACAGGTTTCTCTTGCTGGCACAAAATAGATCCTTCTGGATCATCTGCAAACAGCCCACTGGACAGCACACCAAAGAAAAAGTTAGGTGGGGAACAAACAATTTTTTTTTGTTTCATAACTTTTATTTAACCATAATTAACGCACTGCGTGTTTTAGAGCTAAACATCTTCCTTCTGCTGTTGCAGGGTTCCAACCAAGAAATAATGTTCTAAAACTTTCAAAACTATGCTGATGGGATAGTGATGGCATGTTTTGCCTTTAAAACTCAAAACCTGGATCTAATCAGAAAAGACAAACAGGAAGTAGAACAATTGTTCTATTGCTGTACTGCAATCAAACATTTCTCCTGTTTGTTTGTTTGTTTGTTTGTTTGTTTGTTTGTTTGTTTGTTTGTTTGTTTTTTACATTTAGTATTGATGGGAGCATGACCAATGTTTGATATTGTATTTGTTTTATTAACTAGATACAAACATTTTGGTTTTATGAAAGCATTTTTAAATCTAAATTTTTCAGGGTTATAAGTAATTTTGGGCCTTTGACTGAATTATTATTGATTAATCCCAGCATTTTTCCTCAAACAATTTGCAACAGGCTTTTGCTATTCATAAAATTATAATTCTTAGTTTTCTTAAAAGTACACTTAAATGTTCCATCTTCTCCTACTGAACCAAGTATTATCCATTGTCTCCTTTTTAAGCATTACAGCCTTTTTTTTTTTTTAAAGTTCATTCAAATCAGTTTAATTAATAATGGTACAGCACGTCAGAAAACAAATCCAAATCCCTTCAGATGTGAGATGATGCTCTGAAACTGTCTGCTTTAATGTGCTGGAGGACACTTTTTTTTTTTTTTCATTTTATCCTCTTAAACTACACGTTTCATTGAAATAAATGTCAGAGCAACACATAAAGAAGTAAAACCCAAGCTACTCTCGAAATCAAATCATCGTTACGTCTGGGCAAAATCACATGCTGATAATTCTGGAACAGTTAAGACATTCAATTT